GGGGTGGATGGGGGCACGGGCGGGCGGCCGCGACCTTGCACCCAAGCAGAGCGGGTTCCCCAGACACGCCACAGCCAGGGCGGGAAGGGAGCCCGGAGGCTCATGGAGTCCAGCCCCCGGCCCGGGGCCAGGAACTCAGCTGGGGTCACGCGATCCCGGCGAGAGAGGCATCCACATTCCTCCAAAGGCGCGCACAGCGGGTGCTCGCACCGCCGCCGGCGGCAGGCTGCCCCGGACCTCGGCGCTCGGGCAGGGAAGGCATTCTCCCTCCCGTCCAGCCCGAAGCGCTCGTGCACGAGTCCCTCGCCCCGGGCCCTTGGGGCGCCCCCTCCTCCCTAGCGCAGCACTGCCTGCCTGCTGCGGCCTTTCCCTCCCCAGGTGGAGAACTTGCATTTTCCAGCGTTGAACACCACCCGGTTCTCGTCCGCCACTCGCTGAGCCTGTCCGGGTCAGCCTGGGTCGCCCTCCTGTGCTCAGGATTGCCCGACACACCGTGAAATGCGGTGCAGCCGGGCCGGGGCGGCGCCACGCAGTCGGAGCCTGGAGCGAAAACGCCGAACGCCTGCCTTGGCATTCTTTACAGAGAAATCCGAGTGGTAAGAAGTACGAGTGTCACGACCAGCCCCAGGTGGCAGGCAGCAGAACCACTCTAGTAACCCCAAATTTGACCAATAGAAACCGCTGGTTTCCCCAAAATGTTGGCTGTTACCTTTCACCTAATTAGCAGGGATTTGACCTATAGTAACCCCAAGGTGACCTAGCTGTGACCCTTGATTTCCCCCCAGATTGGGCTGCGAGCTTTCCGTGAGTTAGGGCAGGGGAGGGGGCTGCGGGTCGGGGTGAGGGGCAGCAGCCACACGCACCCCACACTATGCGGATACAAGTTTTTATTTGCATTCATTTGCATGTCATTAGCGTGAATGCAGACCCCACAACACACCCCTTGTGTGGGGCGCTGTCCATGTGTCAACCTGGACATCTGGGTCCCCCGGCTCCCCCTTGCCCCCCTCCCCGGCCTCCCCACCGGGGTCCACTACCGGGTGGCGGCAGCGCTGCGGTCGAGGCGGCGCAGGGGCCGTTTCGGTGGCCGCAGAGAAGGGGGTGGAGGCCACGGCCAGCGTGTAGGGCGTGAGGATGGGGCGGTAGGCGCCGCGCAGTGCCCAGCCCAGCGCTGCGTTGGCCCAGGCCAGCACCCGCAGCACCCAGGCGGGCAGCAGGGGCCCGGTGCCCACCAGGCGAAACCCGCACGCCGGGCCCAGCAGCCCTGCGTTGAAGTCCTCGTAGCTGCCGTAAGGCGAGTCGTCGTAGCAGTAGTAGGCTTCCCCCGCAGGCCCTGCCCCCTTGACCTCTGCCCCCATGAGCTCCGCCCCCTCCGGCTCCACCACTGCTACATGCCACAGTGCCCGGGCCGCCACGATGTGCATCCATGCCGCGTTGCCTAGGGGAGGGAGGAAGGGGCCAATCAGGGGGGAGCAGTTGTGTGACTCATAGGAAGTACTCATGCAAGGTGCGTGCGAGATGCTCGTGGAAGTCTCACAGGAAACATTCATGCAAGACACTTATGGGACACACACATGCGAGACACTTGTGCAAGACTCATAGGACACACTCGAGCAAGATGCTCATGAGACATATTTATGCAAGACTCATGCGAAACACTCATGTGAGCTGCTCAAGAGAAAGTCATGCGAGATGCTTGTGAGACACTCGCGGAGGCACTCCTGCAAGACCCCTGAGAAACACTCATGCAAGATACTCATGAGAAACACTAGACACTTGTGAGACACACTTGTGTGAGCCACTCAAGCAAGAGGGGTGTGAGAAATGGGGGAAGCACTTGTGAGAAACACCCATGCGAGACACCCAGGAAACATGTGTGTCAGACATGGAGGAAGCACTCGTGCGAGACACCTGAGCAAGATGTGTGTGAGAAACTCAGGAGAAGCAGTTGTGCGAGACACTCATGTGAGCCCAGGGCGACACTCATGCGTGCGAGACACTCTGGAGAAGCCCTCATGCGAGACGCTCGAGCAATGTGTCCATGACAAACACTCGTGCGAGGCATGTGGGAGAAACAGTCAAGTGAGACACATGAGCAGCTCGTCTGAGGAATGCTCGTGCAATATGGTTGTGCAACACACATGTGCAAGACCCATCCTTGACTCCTGGGACCCCCCGGCCCGCTAGGTCGGCCCTCCCTGCTCCTGCATGCCTGGGCCCCGCACTTACCCACGTAGACGCGGCCGTGCTCGACCTCAGGGGAGACGAGGCGCCAGAGGCGGCGGCCGCTGCGCAGGCCCCGGGCGTGGAACTCACGCATCAGCGGGTGCCCCTCGCCGTAGATGCCCGTCGGGCGCAGCGCGCAGGTGGCCAGGAGCTGCCCGCCCCGCACCTGCCACCACCGTGCACCCGTCAGCCGGATGCCGGGGTCTCGCACTCGCACCAGCCCCAGACGCCCGTGTCTCAGTCACCCACGTGCCCTGGATGCCTGTGTCCCAGGCGCCCACATCCCCCAGACACCTGGGTCCTTGATCTCCCAGGCCCCCTTTAGGTCCTGGACACCTGAGCACTGGCTTGCCCAGGCCCTGGACTCCTGGGTCCCTGATCTCCCTGCACCGGGCACCTGGGTCCTTGGTCTCCCAGCTCCAGATCCCTGGGTCCCAGCCCTCCCGCAGCCCCTGGATGCCTGGGTCCAAATTCTCCCAGCCTCCCCACCCTCCCCCCGGGCCACCTGGGTCCCATGCTCACCCGCGTGCCGTTGGCTTCCAGGACCAGGCGCTCGGCCTCCGCCTTGCTGAGCGGATAGGGGTGGTCATGGTGCACCTCATATGGGGTGTCCTCATTCCCCCTGTGGGGAGGGGTGGGGTCAGGGCAGGAGTAAGGGGTGGCCCACATCCTAGCCACAGCCCCAACTCAGGACAGCTGAAAGGGAGCCAGGAATCCCCACTTCATCCCAGTGTGATGTGCAGCACATGAGGAAATATGTAGGCACCAGAGGAGGCCATGTGTGGTACAGAAGGATATATGGTAGGCACCACACGTGGTAGCGCAAGGTACATGGGGAAATACAGTAGCAGCAGAGGGGCCAGCGTGTGATACATGGGGAAATACGGTAGCCAGTAGAGGTGACATGTTGGTATCAGGGAATACAGTAGCTACCACAGTTGCGAATATGGTACACAAGGAGTTACAGTAGCATGTGATATGTGAAGAAACATGAAGAAAGATGTGTGCAACAACCCTGGAAGTGCTCCGGTGTGCGCTACATGAGGAAATATGGCAGCCCCAGAGGAAATGCAGTAGCAACTGCAGGTAATTGTGTGTTAGACACAAGGAAACATGGTAGCGAGTGAAGGGGATAACTAGCATGATACACAATGAAACATCGTAGCCCCCACAGGTGACCGTGCAAGGCAATACGGTAGCCTCTGGAACTGATAGTGTGTGACACCAGGAAATATGGTAGCCCTCACACGTGACAGCGTGTGTCACCCAAAGAAATACGGTAGCCTCTGGAAGTGATAGCGTGTGACACAAGGAAATATGGTGGCCCTCATAGGTGATAGTGCGTCGTACACAAAGAAATACGGTAGCCTCTGGAAGTGCAAGTGAGGGACAGACAAGGAAATATGGTAGCGAGCAGAGGGCACAGGCTGTGGTATATGAGGAAATACAGCAGTGCCAGCCATAGGAGCGTGCTCCATGGGGAAATATGGTAGCACCCAGGGTGATGGCATGTTACACGGGGACATACGGTAGCCGAGCGAGGGGCAGCACACGGCACATGGTGGCTACCATATTTCTCTGGCTTCCTGCTCCACTCCAGCCTTCCTATAGGCCGGCGGTAAGGGGGGGCGGGGCTTCCCTGGATCCTCAACAGGGGGTCCTCAGAGAACCCAGGAATCCCGGATGTGGTCCCTTTAAAAGGAGGAGAGGGGTGGAGGGACAGCCTCACTGTTTGTTTCTGGGTTGCTATGGAGATGGGTGGGGAATCCCGAGGAAAGCCCTTGGGAGCCCCATGCCTGGGAGCAGGGGGTTATGGGAGGCCAGAGGCCTGGGCTCTCTGGGGTAGGGGCCGCAGGTGAGACCAGGGGTGTTAGGGGCCTGGAGCCCTGGGTTCTATGGGGTGGTGGGGATGCGAGTAGGGGGTTTGGGAGCCTGGACACCTGAGTCCCCTGGGGTGGTGGGAGCAGAGGACTCTGGGAGCCTGGAGGCCTGGGTTCGCTGGGGGGGGGCGAGCCCAGGGGTGTTAGGAGCCCAGATGCCGTACCGGTAGAAGGGATCCCCAGGGGGGTTGGGCCCCACCACCTCCATGCTGCTGGTGTAGACCAGGACAGGCACCCCGTGGTCCACGCAGGCATCAATCACGTTGCGGGTCCCTGCTGGGAGCCAATGGGTGAAGGGTGGGTGGGACCCGGACCCCGGGGCCCCTTCCCAGGTCTATGAGCGCGATGGCATCCGGGCGACACCGAGCCCCTGGCTAGGCCCGGACGCCCGGGTGCC